GTGTATGTACAGCAGGGTGCTTGGTGCACAGTAGCTGCCCAGTAAACATTTAGCTCCCTATTTTTTCACTCCCTTGGATAACCTACATGAACTAACAATAGTACATGCTATGAGAATATAATAACCACAAGGGCTACCCAAACAGCAGCAAATCCATACATCGTCAGCATCGCTTATTTTTTATAATAGTAACTATTCTGAATGTTAACCTTTATATAATAAATCTTTTCCTCTTGTCCCAATCAAACTTCCTGTTAACACATACATGAAATTAATCTTTGGAGAACAGAGATTGTATCATTTTGGGGACTTTTTCAAAGTATTTTCAACGACTATGCATTTATCTTGGCAAGATTTTAATAAGAATTTGGGCTCACTCGTAGTTTTGATGAAGAAAAATATATTTATAAAATGATTACATATACATCTCTATGCCTATCCTATAGCTACAATCCAGTAGGGTTGGTAAAAATTAGTTTAATGGAAACTCTTTAATTTCTGTTTTGACATTTCCTCACCAGTCTCTTATCCCTTCTGAATACCGTAGAAAGTCTCGCCGTGTGGTGATGGGGAGGTCTTCTCTGTTAGGAATCCAGTTCCTTCACACAATGCTAACTGCTCGTCCTGTGTCAAGCTTTTTAATCTATATTTTATTGATTATGCTGTTACAGTTGTCCCATTTTTTCTCCCTTTTATTCCCCTCCACCCTCCACCGCCCCGTCCCCCAGCACCCCGCTCCCCCGCCCTTACTTCATGTCCATGGTTTGTACATGCACGTTCTTTGGCTTCTCCATTTCCTATGCTCTTTTTAACCTCCCCCTGCCTATTTTGTACCTACTACTTATGCTGCTTATTCCCTCTACTTTTCCCTCCATTCCTCCCCCTCCCTCTCCCCTCTGTTTTATTGTTCATAGTTTTTGATCTTCTTTTTCTTAGATAAGTCCCTTTAACATTTCATACAATAAGGGCTTGGTGATGATGACCTCCTTTACCTTTACCTTATCTGGGAAGCACTTTATAAGCTTTTTAGAATCAAGCCCCAACCATCTATTGTAATTTATACCCTATTAATCCTCTCCCCAAAGTGTTGATCTCTTGCCAAACGATCCCCCCAAACATTTCCTGCCCTTTCTCACTGCCATGTTTTTTCCCATGCCCTTCGCCTTGCCTGAAGTGCCTTGCCTTCCTATCTCCAGCTACTCAAATCCTAGCCCATGTTCTAAATCCTGCTCACATCCAATCTCCACAGAGTTGCCCAGGTCAGACCGCCCCCTCCAGCTCTGTCTGACCTCAGCCTTGTCAACATCGCACTTGGCGTGCTGCTAGTGTTGCTGTTACTTCTTTGCAGTTTGGGTTACTTTTTTCATAACTTCATTTTTTTCCCCAACTGAAAGATAAGTTCTTTGAGACCAAGAGCCACATGTTAGAACTGAGCATTATATTCGGCACACAGCTGATATTTAAATATTTGTTGGTTGGCTAGAATACATGAGACATTATGACAGAAAATTTTAACATCCTACTTCAACATAAATAGCAGTTAGCACAATGGGACTACATCTTTCAACCTTAAAACAGAAGACATTTATAGAAACTCCAGATAACTTCTTCCACTATAGAGGATAATTTCATTGTGAAAAATATTTTCAACAGCAATAGAATGATACAAATAAACTATCTCAGAATTTAAGCAGGCACTTACTACAACCAGCTGTGTTAAATACTAATAGTCTTTGTGCTTTAGTCAATGACTTATTGAACAAATTATTCATTGTGCCCCAATTTGCACAACAAACCACACTAAGATCTGCTGGGAGAGGAGATGAATAAAAGACTGAACAAGTCTTTAGCATTCAACATTGTATTTAATGAAGGAGAAAGACTTCACAACTTTTTACAAAACAAGTTAAATAAGCAAATAAATATAGTGAACCTACCAAGTATTGTGTGTGATTAAATCGAGTTAGTAGGGCTCAGAAAACACCTGTCCACAAAAAAATAAAATAAAAGAAATGGAGAGGGGGAGGGTATTTGAACAATGCCTTGAGAGACAACTGAGACTTTGTAGACCATGATGGCAGAAGGAGTTTGGGGCTATAAATTCAGGAAAAGCAAGTTACAGACATGAAAATATGCCCTCAGCCCATCTTTGCTTCTGTCAGTCGGTGATCTAACTTGCTACTTCATAGGAAAAACAAAAGGCCATTCCTCTCCTGCACCTTCAAACTGTCTCTGCCTTTCCCTCCTGTCTGAAGAGTCTCCCCATTCTTTCCCAAAGCTAAATTCTCCACACTGTTCTGGCCACTCCCGTTGCTTGTCTCCTGAAACATCTTGTCCCAGTGCTCGCCGTGTCTCGCCTTCCTTCTGCGGCCACATTTCTGAAAGAATGGCCTATTCTTGTTATCTCCACTTCCTAATTCCCCACTCAGTTACATAAGGTTAACTGCCTCTTAAATCTTTTTTATTCAGTAAAATAATAAGGATTTGCTTTCTGATTTCTTCCTTTGTTTTAAAATAAGTTAACCAGTATTTCTTTTTAAAATATATTTGCTATCTTCAGGGAACAGTGAATGTATAGTCTCTGAATAGATTTCTCACGTCCGGAGAGTCAACTATTAAACAGGTGAGGCTCTGTAGAAGTACTTTCAGTAAAGAAACTGCTAATGTAGTGATCAATGAGAATTCTGAGCCTTAAACATGCTGTTTTCTCCATGTTTCTTTCTCTAAGTCAGAGCTCTTTACAAGTCTCCAGATGAGAATAGGTAGTGCATACAATTCATCTTTTTTGGCAACACAGAACAAGTACTTTTAGGGAAATTGTGTCATACAAGCTGGGCCCTTCATCTTCTTTACAACATGGGGCCAGTCTGCTGTCCCGACACTGTTCTACAGGAGAAGCGCCCCCATCCTGCTCAGGTCTCTAGCTGTTTCATTGACCAAAGAAGCAGTGGCTTACACACAACGTGCAGCCAGAACTCTCCAGAACTTACTTTGCTCACCCTTCTTGCCTTCAAAGTCAAATTAATCAGCACCCACTAACCACCTACACTGATTTCAAAAATGCGAAGAACAACCCATGTTATATACACATAAGCCTTTCCATGGACAGTGAGTATGATACACACTACTCCATGAAACGCTGGGCAGTATATGGATCTCAGTTCACCTCTTCAGATTTCCTTTGTAATAAATTCTTTAGTTCATTAAGCAATCCAGTCATCTCCCTTTACCTTTTAAAAATAGCTTTATCCACCCTGGCTGATGTGGCTCAGTGGACTGAGTGCTGGCCTGTGAACCAAAGGGTCGCTGGTTCAATTCCCAGGCAGGGCACATGCCTGGGTTGCAGGCCAGGTTCCCAGTGGGGGGTGCACAAGAGGCAACCACACATGGATGTTTCTCTCTCTCCCTTCTTTCCCCTCTCTCTAAAAATAAATAAAATCTTAAAAAAAAAAAAGCTTTATCCTCCCCCTACCCCAGTGTTTTTAAATGGCTCTCCTTAAAGTAGACAAGATCTGTGCCATGAACTTCTATTCTCCTAAGGAATAGAGTTAACAGAGCTACCAAATGCACTGGATATTATAGACATTCCATAACTACATTTTAATAGGCTGATTTGCAGGTATCAATATTAAGGTCACCAAACAAATGGTTTGACTGGAGATCTAACAGAACATCGCAGGTCCACCTCTTCAGGCTCCTTGCGGGGGTCAGGGCAAGACTACAAAGGGACACCTACATTCCTTATGTCTAAACGTTCCCAAGTTACACTATTAAATAAAACATGGTCTCTTCCTCCAATCTTGACAAATACACTTTCACCCGCCTTAGGGTACAGGTACAAATCTGGAATTTTTAGATTCCTTAAAGTTCCACACACCATGGTGCGGTGATGTGGGAGGGCCCGCCCCCGCCCACTCCCTTCCCTTCACGTTCTCACGTCAGTCAGCACCTCGAGGGGCCTTGTGCACAAGTGCACACCCCACCCACCCCAAGCCCTGGCCGCCCTTCTGGTGAAGGTGGCTGGTTTCACCCAGTGCCCAGGGCGTGAGGGTAAACAGAGTGAGGGCGTGAGGCGGACACACCCCTCTGGCCCTTCAGGTCCTTCAGCCGGTGGTGCAGTGGGGCCAGAGCGGAGTCTTCTGATTCACGGGTCCCAGAACAGGGCCTCTCTTGGCCAGAACTCAAGGCAATACATACTGGGCGATTTACCAAAATGGAGACTTTACCAGATCAGTTCGTTACTCGTTAATACACTAGGTGAAAATAAATATAGAAAAAGAAGATTAAGTAGTAAAATCCGAGATCTCGATTTCTAATAACTTCAGGTCCCTCAAGATCTATAATTGAAGGGTCTAATATTTATCTGGATCTACTCTTCAGACTAAATGTAGTGCTTTCTTTACAAATGCATACAAATTTACAGAGTCCTATTCACATGCTACAGGGAGCTAAGGGGACAACAAGGAGCAGATTGAAGAGGGGAGGGAGAACATCAAGTGTCAAAGACGAGCAGGTACACAATCTAAAAGAATTACTTCCCAGGGGTGGGGACGGGTGGGCAGAGGGCGAGTGGTGGGGGGGAAATGGAGACAATGGTATTTGAACAACAATAAAAAAAAGAAAGAATCACTTCCCTTGTGTTCTGTCACTTGTGTGGTTAACCACCTGATCAAGGGCACTGGTATCACGGCTTGTTCCCACTGACACACGGGTCCGTGCGGCTCACTGGGCAGCCTCACGCTGGCCCCTCCCGGGCGCTGCGGGCCTTGTCAGTAAAGCTGAGCCTTGTCCGTGTACCTGGAGGCTGCTGGCTGCTCTGCCTAGACCTTACCGTACTTCGCTGCGCTGCAATTTCTAGTTTACTTAGCAACAATATTCGTTTGCTAATTTGAAAAAAATAATAAAGAATTCTCTTCACAATATATATAGATAGATAGATAGATACATACTCCACAGGAAGGGAATTATTCCAACTGGAAATCTTATTGATGCGTACTTACTGAGATTGTACCATTGTCTAGACCTATGGACAGTCTTCTTGTTTCCGGGTTAAAAGACATGCATGAACATGGAGCTGAAAGAAATGAACATGTTGATGAAATTAACAAAACGATGATTCTCATCGATTCAGGGGTGACTAGCTAAAGTGTGTGACTATTTTTTTTTTTTTTGGCCACTATTTCCTGAATAACAGTTCATTTAAGTCCCACTCACCGAAAATAAAAACAGGACATTTACAACCAACCCTAGTTTTTCAGCTAGTCTCTAATCAGAATAACAAATAAGATATTCTCAAACTGGACAAGTAGTTCCAAGGGGCCTGGTCTCAGCTAGTCTCTCATTACCATGTCTTAGTTTGCTTGACCAGATTGATATTTTGTGCCATAGAACCCTTCTGTCACCAACCTACCTATCTCTTCCACTCAGACCCCAGCTTTAATAGAAATCACCTTTCCTGAACAAGAAAAACAAAAGGAAGATCTTATTATCCACCCTGCCCCCCCCGCCCCCGTCGCCCAACACACACGCTAGTACAGAAATCTATTTGTTGATTCACAATTGATTTGGAGTATGAGGACTATCAGAAAATTCTTTTATTCTCAGCATTCAAGGGATATACTGGGAGCTGGTAAGTGAAAAAGGCTGAGGATCTGCCTCCATCTACAATAGAACCAACCTGACACACGGAGGCTCTCTGGGGAGGAAGCCAGGCGAGCCAGCTCACCCTGTCCCGGCCAGGGCCTCCTGGTTCTGCACGACTGGCCTGAACCTCGGTAAATCAAGCAAGCGCGCAGGCCCCATGTGGCCGAGAAGGGCTTGCTCAGCAGTCAGCTCCCAGGTGCCTGCCTTTCCTACCTGTGCTTGCTTGTAAGAATGGAGCCCTTTTGACAGTTTGTCCTGTACTGAAATAGTTGTCCTAAAAAGTCCTGCACAATTTTTGAAAATTCCTCAGCCCATCTTCCCAGGAGCTCTGTAGATCATGAACTAGTCATTATCATAATCGTAACTGGCATCAGATGTTTTTATTCCTACTTTTCACAGTTGCCATTAGATATCTTAACCCAGGGTCACACAGGAAGGAAAAGCTGGAGAAAGTTCAAAGACATAACTCAAACCCAGTCCTATTCTCAAATATCCAACTTAGATTATCTGTAAACGGTAAAAGAACTTCAAGTTCTACTAACAGAGCCATTTCATAAACATGTAATTTAGTAAAATTTTTTTTCATTCTCCATAAACGGATCCTGAACAACAACAAAAGGGCCTTCTAAACTACATGATCATTTTTTCCTAATTTTCAATCATGATACATCTAAAAAATTATAAACATAAGAAAAAATAATCCCCTCTAGCCCCAAATAACTTCAGGAGTACAGCAGAATTTTTTTTTTTTTTTTTTGTTTAGCCACAATATTAAACTAGATTCCCAAAAGAACACTGCTGGAAAAAAGTAATCAACTGATACTTAACACAGTGTGCTCTAAGAAAGTCTTACTTGCCCTTGACCTATAAACTATGTTGGCAAAACTTCTACACAGATGCTACGATTCCAAATCTCATAATCCCACAACATATGGGTAAAATTAAAATCCAATGATTTCATGGAAAACTATCACGTTAGCTGAAAAAACAAACAAAAAATACACTGTGATTACAACTACATAAACTACATACACACATAATACACATGAAAAAACTAAGTATAGTTGTGTCTGAGTGACAAGATTACATTTTTAACATTGTCTTTATTTAGTATTTTGCTATTCCTGTGTAATTTTTAAATATCTAATTATTTATTAAATATAAGCATGAGCATATAAAGCAAAACTTAATTGCAACCCGAAAGATTACGGACCAGTCAAGGACAGCCGAGTCACTCAGCGGCCTGTCTGACTAGCACTCTCTATATAATTTCCTCTGAAGTTCATAGCTAGAATGTAATAGTCAGAAAACCCACTGATCTTTGAATGTGATTTAAAAGACATGTGTATAATATTGTACTGGCTACACTTAAATCTACTTCTTTATTCATTGTTTCCCTCCATTCACTAAATTTCTTGTCATTCTGTCAAATTTAGAATCCTTACTGTGTTCCAGGCATGAGACACAATGATGTATAAGGTGTTATAGCTGTCATCAAGGAATTTATAGATTGTGACACCAACTACATTTGGTACTACAAGGCGTCTACCCAGTGTCACCTCCTTAGTTCAAATTACTTTATACTGATAAAGAAACACTACCTGAATTTTAAGGGAAAAGACATTTTCTACAAAGGACCATAAACAAAAATTTTAATAGAAATTCTGTTGTTCCAGAATGCATATGCTTGGACACAAGATGGTTAGAGACAGGGAATGCCAGCGATAGAGCAGTATCTCCCAGTACTGCCCCAAAGGCAAAAACACCTCTCCAAAGAGGCATCATGGCGAAGCACCAACAAGCCTGTGTGTGTCTGTGCGCGTGCGCACATTTAGAGAGAAAGGCTTTTGTGCATGACCCTTATGATGTTCCTCAAACCACTGCCCACCCGTGACACTCCCAAAGGAGCAGGCCCGGGGTTGGTTGCCCACAGCCTCTGTAGCGCCAAAGAGGCAGGGAGGGGTTGAATAAAACATTTGTGTCCCTATTTATTGTTACAGTAGATGGCTTTCCTTTTAGAGGTCGGGGGGAGTGAAAAGATTGATGCAGAGATCCCTCTAACTTCAACTCACCAGAACTTACCCAAAAAGAACACTCTTAACCGCTAGTGCTACAGCCCTTACAACGTGGGCTCCTGTCCAGCCGCGCAAGAATGTGTGAAGGGGCCCAACTGTCCCCGGAATGTTACTGATCGCCAAACGGCAAAGCGAGTCCACTGGCAGGAAGAACAAGGCGGGGAGCACAACAAAACAGCATTTAAGCACAATTATTTGTAACTAGGCTGCAAAAATGTGATGTTTCACACATAAGGTTTCAGCTTTCAGTGAAACTATAAACTAATAATTTATGATAAACTATAATCTAAATAAACCATAAAACTAATAAACGTGTCAATAAAAAAAATAACGTTCTAGAGCTGATGGCTGGCAGTTCATCAGAGGCCGACGGGCTGAGAGGCTACTCCGTTCTCCTGCCCTCAAACTGCGTTCTCCAGAGGCTAAGCAGAGTGGTTGACCGGAATGGTACAATTACAACACACTCCCTTCTGTGACCGTCAAACCGGACCACCCCCACCCGCCGCCCCCGCCGCGCGAGCTGGTCAACACAGCATGATATAGAGCCTGAAGATAAATTTATTCCCCCCACTTTTAACTGGTTCCCCATGGGAAAGAACCACCCCCGGTACAATCTCTGTGGGGTGACCCCCAGTTGCCAAGGTCTCTCACACATGTCATGTGTGAACATTCAGGGAGGCTGGGGCCTGGCCAGGAGCCGGGAGGGCCTGCGGGAGGATATCACGCCCTGCGTTGGCAGGAGAGGCCCAAGGAAAGAAACCTGTTTCCAAGAGAGCGCTGTAGCTCTCACGGCCCCTCCCCCGACGGCCTCTGCCCTCGGCTGGCAGGGCGCGAGCCTGGCTAACCGTGGCTGCGTACTGGGCTGCGACCCCTCCTCTTTCCGCAGTAAATCCTTTTTGGTGGTGGGATACCTTGTGGGCTTTTGTCTAAGTCGATTCACGGTATATGTAGTTTGCCTCAGACTGCTCCCATATACACCCATTAACCGAAATCCAAGGCCTTGCCACGAGCCTTATCCTATATGTGGATGTCATATACTATTTTTTTCTAGTTTCCTATTTTCTCCCTGTATTTACTAAAATCTAGGAAAAAACTGGGACATCCGGTCAAGACGGCAGCGTAAGGGAAGAGAGTATTCGCCCTCCTCCCATAACCACGTCAAAATTGCAACTACACTATAGGACAACCATCGTTCAGAACCACCTGAAATCAAGCTCTAAGAAGCCCTAAAACTAGGGAATCACAAAAGAAGCCACATCGAGGCTGGCAGGAGGGGTGGAGGCATGGAACCAGCTGGTCCCACACCCACGTGTGGTGGATAAAAATTGGGACATCTCAGCCGTGGGCGACCCCCCTTCCCCCACGGAGTGAGTGGTCCCAGCCCTACACTAGGCCCAGGGCTTTGGTGTTGCGCAGAGAAGTCCCCACAATTGCTGGCTGTGAAAATCAGCAGGGACTGTGCCTGAGCGCGACAGAGGCTTCTGGAGTCCCAGGCAGTTCCTCCTAAAGGGCCCTCGCACCTACTCGGACATACTCCCTTTGAGCTCCAGAGCTGGGGCAGCAGCCTGAAAGGAACGGGGAAAAGAGGGGAGGAACTTACTGAATCACCTGGAATCCAGGCGGGAGCTGGGGGACAAGTCTCCCAGACAGGAGTGCCGGCAGAGGCCACTGTCCCCTCCACAGAGCGAGCAGGCAGGCTCCCTATCTGAGTCTCCCTCAACCGGGCTCCCCGTGTTTGCCACACCCTGGTGATTCCCTGAGGCCCCACGCCACCCAGCTCTCAGGTCTACCCAAGCTGTTTCTTGTAGGCTTTTCCGTAGGAATGGCTTGTCTTGGCTCATGCTTCAGACTTTCCTAAAATCCCTCAAACAAACAGCCTCTGGCTTCAGTGAGTCCCGTACCTCTCACTTAGGGGCCCTGGGCTCAGCACCAGCAGTAGGTGGCCTTGGTTCACAGCTTGGCCTCTCCTGGGTACCTCCAAGCCCAGCAAAAGCAGCAGCCACCTGCAGGTCACTTTGTAGCTTATGCGAGGTGGCCCTGGGCAGAACACTGGTGGTGGCTGACCTTAGCCTGCACCTCCTGGAGCACACCCAATTGATGGCTTCAGACCACATCAAGCACTGCCACCCAACCACCTCCACAAGTGACACACTCAAGGCGTAGACTCAGCAGGCACCAGAGCCCTGCTGAAGTAAGTCCTGCTTTGTGGGGCGGTCCCCTCCCTGCACGGCTGATCCTCCACAGTGGCTGAAAGTCAGTGGTCAGTGGTTGCAGTCAGTCCTTGTAGCTGATCAGCCGGAGTGTAAATCCCTCCCATTGACATGCCAATAGCAATCAAGGCTTAACTATAAGAGGA